AACATCGGACAGGAAAGAATTGCTTTGTGTCAAGGAACAATGCCACCTCAGTTTTGATAAGCCGCTCCAAGGCGTAAGATGCAAGGAACAATTCGGAAAAATACTGGAATACTCCGATGGACTGGAGGACGAAGATCGCATCAGCTACATGCAGATGCACAGGCTGCCCGAAGCATCGGCAGTTGTCCGTGTCTGCGCTCTCACTGAGTCGTACGATTGCGAGGAAGCCGACGCCAAAAAGTGATTCCGGAATGTGATAATACATAAATCCTTTCATCGAAATTCACTTGTTACGCGTGTATGCTCATTGTGTTCCATTGCTTCAATTACTATTCACTACTATGTGCTCATAAATTTGTCATTTTGCCGCGTTTCCGCCGAGCAACGAATCGCTTGGCTTTCTGATACCAGCTTTTTAGCTTGTCCTATTTTGGAATTATGGAACTACTCTGAGTCTGAATTTGATTCGTACAGCATCATTTTGGAGAATCGGATACTGCACAAATTTAGCGCTGCCTGAAGAAAAGAGCTGTCGCCATTTTCGCTGCAGCCACGAAGAACTGCACTATTTCTGGGAGAAAGAAATTACCAATAAATGATATGCGATATAATCTGAACAAAACGACGCAGAAGTTAGAAACTTGTGGTTTATTTTAATTTGCTTTCCTGAAAAGCTGCACTGGCACGACAGTACAGTGTGAACAAAAATGGCGAAGGTCGCGAAGCATGAGAGAGGTGATGATGATTATCAGACAAGTGCAAGCCGGAGGGGAATAAAGGCAACAAACCAGTTACCAGCTGGAGGAAGGTTTTTTTGTACTGAAAAATGCTTGGTGCTGGAGAACCTGGAAAGAAAATTTCATTCCCTTCTGCATATCGCGAAGAAGTAGTGATTAGCTATGCAGCTATATAAATTCAATATAATGAAGGTCGAGAGGGAACCGCAAGGCCAATTCCGATACAGAGAGTACGAGTGATAAAAATTTTTTTTTTCAGTTAACAGCAACAAAATGTAAGCCACAAAATTTGTTAATGAC